AAACAAGCTAAATCTTACACATATCTGATATTAATTCACTTTTATACAACAAAGATCAATTAAGCAACATTAAAAAACATAACTGTTTTTCCACACATGATCTCATTGTTCTCATTTCTAACAATAAACACCACTTTTACAACAAAATATACAAACAATACCAGTCAGCCTTTAATCCTTTCCACTTTGCGCCTTTTCAAACCTCTTCTCGTCTGTATTTGCTACTTATGAAGTTCAGTGAAACAGATCACCCATGCTCTCAATGGCCGATTAACTTACCAACAACGGCATTTCTAGAGATAAAAATAAGCTATCGTTATTTTTCAGCAAATCACCGGCCACACAACATAAGAGAACAGAAATACGATACTAATATACATGTATATTATAGCTCAGTAAAAAATAGGCATATAGACGAAAAGAGAGGTTATGTTGTCCCACAATTTCGTAAGCATTAAACATCGATTTTACATGCATACGTGCACACAAGTGAGGACGCTGTCGGCAGCAGAAGCCAAGAAATACTTTAAGAGGATAAGTGACTCCAAAATTTATTAGCGTTTTTACAGAATTTCTCCATGGGATCCTGCTGTGAGACAGTTCAACCCAGTCCACATCTTCACAACTTTTATTTTCAAGATCCGTTTTCACGTCACCCTCTAAACCTATGTCTAGGGTCTAGACCTTCCAAGCAGTCTCCTCCCGTGACATACGTGTATACTGTCAAAACATGTGTATGAATTTGTAACATTTCCATGCATGATGTATGCTTATCCAAATTAGTGTAGGCCTATGCCATTTTTGGGAAGAAACTCCATTTCAGCAGGATCACTAGTGATTTGCTAAGAAAGATAGACTAGAGCTACATAATTCAGACTACTCAAATTTACATAAGCGAGCCCGTCGTCGCCCTGCATTACGGTATTACTTACAGACACTAGAAAAATTTCTAACGCGTGTAGTACCAGTAATTTCAGTTAAAGTAACAAGAAAGTCTCATTGAATTCAACGCTGCCCGGCAACGGCTTTAGCAAAGTCTCTTCGACGAGTGCTTTCATTTGGAATGTTGACGGCAATATATGCCATGCTCTTTCAAATCCGTATCGAGTTTGTAGGAAATATTCAGCAGCATAACTGTACTATAGTTAGTGAGCATCGTGGCCGCGTGGGTATGGCTTATGCATAATATTCTGAAGTTCCCGGAGACCGGCCATCTTGTCTGATGCCTTTTGCGTCTTTTCTGAGCCTCTCCTTGCAAATATCTGGATACTGTAAGAAAGTAGGCCACGGCCGCTCCCTTCCATATCTTTTCTAATTCATATTCACTAATGATCCCAGAATATGACGTTATATTTTTTGAACTACTGAAAATGCAGTTAAATAAGTCGTAAGTAAGTAAATAAAAAATGAAAAATGAATAACGCCGATTCTATATAGCTCAAAGAACCACAATTACTATGCAATGTTGGGCCCTACTGCATACAAGGCGAGTAACAGCCCTAAGTTGGGCCGCGCCATAGCTCAAGCGGTTACTCGCTGGCTTCCCACCGAGGGTCTGGTCAAGTGGGATTTGTGGTGGACAAAGTGGCACTGTGGCAGGTTTTCTCCGAGTACTTCGGTTTCCCCTGCCAATCTTCATTCCACCAATTGCTCCACAATCACCCTCACCTATCATCTGGGGCTGGTACAGTAGGCCAGAAGTGGCTGCAGTACAAGGGACTTAGTCCCACCCCACTGGAAATAAAAAAAGAAATCCCAAAGTAAATGTTATTCACCTTCACAAAAGTTACTTATGCGTTAAGTCCTGTTGACAATGCTGATCTGAACATGGACTTCTGATTTTCAAAATCAAAACTGTTGTGAAATAATAATTGAAATTACAAAATTTAGGATTCCATTTTCCGCATCACGTAAAGGCATTCGTGTGTTTAAATACATGTTCAGGGGAAAATTTGGCGCATAAACTTAGTTCACATCACCTGCCTTAAATTATTGGACAAATTAATAAGGCGAACCTACATGAAGTATTACTTTCCTTTATCTCAGACAACACGTTCTATGGTGCAAATTTCACACAGTACTGTTAATACGTTAATAAAAGGGAAGTTAAGAGACGCATAGACGAAGAAGAGAACATAAACGAGATATGAAGGCGGGACCTCGTGGAGAAGGGCCCACCTGTAAAGCAAAGGAATGGCTGGTAGAATATGATATTATGAAGATTGAATGGTCAAACGTTTTGGCGGTGTGGACTGAAGTGAACTGGGTCAGTATGGAGTCGACTAGTGGACTTTCGTTGTTGAAGCAACGAATATTGAGGTCTCAGGGAAGAAGTAAACAGTTAACTGTACCTTGAGGAATGCAACTACTGTCACTGAAACACGACGTTGTTTCTATAGTCTTTGTAAAACGACAGTTCTGTAGCACATCACTAATTTGGTTAGACTCTTCTACACTGCGCATGTCAAATACAGTATTTCGCTGGAAAAATGTGAAAGGTATTAAAAAGTAAAAGAAGTAAAGGTATCCCTGTAACAGACCGTGGAAGCCCATAGGGTTGTGAGGAGTTGAGGTTCCCACATTTTCTAGACAATCGGCTCATAGATGACGGCAAGGTTGTCAGCCTTACGCGCCAGCCGCCCTTTACCCCCAACAATATTCCTGGTACTCATTTCTGTTAGGGGCTGAGTCGACCCCAGGGCCATAGTGCGGATGGAAGGATTAGGTCAATTGGGAAAAAAATCCAATGACCTTATCGGGACTTGAACCCGCGACCTTCCGACTTGTAGCATAGTGCCTCAACCAACTATGCTACTGCGTGCCCCCATGTGAAAGTTATTGCAGTATAAAATTGCATAAAATAGGGCAACAAAATTCGCATTCGGTCTATTTAATTTTGGAAGATGTGATCAATATTACAGATCACAGTGACCACGCGGTCTAAGGCATGAAATCTCCTCGCCCGCTCGAACGCTGGGATCGTAGGTTCGAATGCCACTCAAAGCATGGATGTTTGTCTGCGTTTATTTATTTTGTGTGTGTGTGTGTGTTTTCCGGTGTAGGTAGCGGCCTTGCGACGGGCTGATCCCCCGTCCAAGGAGTCCTACCGACTGTCTAAGATTAAGAAACTGAAGTGAAACGAAGCGTTTCAGGGATGCCCTATGTAAACAGAAACTCGTAGATACACAGAACAATATTAGAAATAGTGTACACTTTGTAATAATTTACAGGTATGACCAAACACCTGCTGAATAAAGGACATGTTGATTTTTAAATTATTAAATGACACTGTTTCAACTTAAACCTCTACGCCTGCATTAGTGGTGATGCGGCATATAAGGACGTTCTATTAGATAATATATACGTAACTCCTCATTCTAGAATTTCGTAAGAACACTGAGGAGACAGTGGCCGTCTGACCTACCACAACCCGCAGTTGATGAAGCTTAGAACCATCACCATTCCTCTACAGGGCCTGTCAGAGTATCATCAGCTGGTGACTTCTCTACTCAAGACACCTACTTAGAACAAATTTACTTATTACTCCAGATTATCGAGAGTGGATTGTAAATATGCCATTAATTAAATACAAAAATATTAGAATTCATTACTGAGCCTAATTGCGTTACATAAACGCCTACAAAAAGAATCATGAAACTTGTTTCTTTACTTCATTGCAACACAAAGTTGGGGGGTGGAGTCCAAGTGGGTCCACTCGGCACTGCCGCCACTGATTGGCCTATTGTACCTGCCCCGGGTGATTATGATGATGGAGAATTTTTTTGGTGGAATGAAGATTGGCAAGGGAAACCGAAGTACTCGAAGAAAACCTACCCCAGCGCCGCTCTGTCCACCACAAATCCCACTTGACAAGACCCGGGTTTCAACCCGGGCCGCCGCGGTGGGAAGCCAGCGACTAACCGCTTGAGCTATGGCGCGGCCTTAATTGCAACATATAAATGAAGTTATTGTGCCTCTGTTACTAAGCTGTTATACTGATTCAGCTGAGAAGGGCTGACCTTTATATTTCATTCCCTGTAGCAAAATAGTTACATCATGTATTCAAGAGTACCTGGTTTGAATCTCTGCAGGACTACCGATTATTTTTATATTTCTTTGCCATGACAGTACACTGAGACGGGCTGCGAGAGCCCCCCAAATTCTTATGTGTTCACCATGCATTATCTTCCCACATCATTCTACTCTATACAACCTATACAGTTGAAACAGTATCGTTAAATAAGTTACCAATCAATGGCAAGTTTAGCTCTTTTTCCAAGTAGTTGTTATACCATATGAAGCCTAACGATACATTTGTTAGTTTTGAGGATATATTACATTGGTTTTACGTCGAAATGAAGAGTCTATAACCTACATCACGTGATTCGGTTAAATCGTTTACTACGCAGTCATTTCGGTTGTTACTGTTGAACACGAGACAGCCAGTTCTTGCAAAATTGTCTTGTTGGCAGTTACACGCTGCAGACCGGAGAGGCGCAGAGAGGTACCCAGTTATTGTAGACTCAATCAAAATGCACAGAAAATTCATAATAATATATTAGTGAACATTATGCAAAATGCCCGTATTATTAAGAAGCTTCCACCATTTCTATAGCGGCTACGACCAAGCTAGGTGACAGTGTTCATCTAAATTTTTATCAGTTTCGCCTAAATTAGGCCGAATAGCATTTAGGGGCATGCTCATGGGTTTATTAAGTTTGCATAATTGAGAAGCGCGTGCGAAAATAATGTAACATGTTATTGAGAGGGGGCGTTTCCACTACGTTCTATGCAACGTGCCAGTAGCACTTAAGGGACGAGTCCCCCCACCCCCACCCACTTCTTTTCTTCAAGCCAGAAGCCATTCAGAAATAGATCCTGCAAGATTTGGTACATCTAAAAATAATAAGTTCCACTAAGTTGTTAGGTTAGCATGCTACAACATGTAAGAACACACCAAAACGAGAATAATTTTGCAACATTTTGTTGATAGTACTTACCCAAACTCTCTCCATGTTAAAGAGGCGTACCAAAGAGAAAACATGGTTGTTAGTCTTCTATACGAAAATAATAGAACTGATGAAGTTATACGTCTGAGCAGTCTTAACAGCTGATGCACTTACTAGTCTGGTTTATAGAGCGGCTTCAAAAAATATTCACCACTAGAAAAGGAATATAAAAGTTACATTATTTCAACAAAATCTGACCCAATTTTAAATCGAGGATTTATGACAGGTACCATGAACACATGTAATAGGTCACAGGGTCACAGCTCTACTGTCAATATACGTTTACACGAACTTCACTTGTTTCAAATTCGTAGCGCGTTTGTCAAATGTTTCTTGTTTTCAAGAGAACTGAGTATTTCACAAGGTTATGTGTTCGAAATCCCTAAGTGTACGCATGCTCTTTGTATGTTTGTTATTATGGAGTTTATTTCACTGTATATTTTTATAAATACGAAAGGTAATTTTACTGTAATTTGAATGAAATGTCACCTCGTTCAGAGCCGTGCTGTTTCACCAGCGGACTTGGCAATTACCGAAGACTGTGGTGTGCTGTATTCTCTATTGATCGTACTGTGGAGCTACTACGCCAATCCAGCCGACTGACTGCGCGGCTCGGAAAGGAGTCGAGATGTCTACGAGAGGGAAGAAACAGGAATGCGTATCAATTTATTGTCCACTTACCTGGGCCCATTTGACTGTTGAGCAGTAGGAATGACGTGATGTGAGCTGGACTGACATGCATGCACCTGAACTGCTCAACTACTATATATGGTGTAGCACATAAACACGGGAAGCACGCATTTCCATTATGTAATATCTTAGGCATTACATACATACAAGTGTCACTGTAGATCGGAACTTCTGAGGTTATTTCCATGTTTAATTTAATTGGCAAAATGTAAGATCTCTACGTGAAAGTAGCAATTCAGTGATCTTGCAGGAATAAAAAGAAAGCAATGTCTGAATTTCAAAATTAACGAGCCTAACAGTACCGACAGGAACAGAAATATTACAAGATTGCCGTTTTATGGGATGTGGCATCGTGTATATTTTGTGTGGACTGACGTTTCGGAGGAACGTATCGCCTCCATCTTCAGGGTAGAAAAATCCGCGAGCAAGGAACCAGCTTGAGCAGGTGGCTGCAGTCTGCAGGTTGGGTGGGCCTCAGAACCGGTCTGGACAACATGGAGAAGAGCAAATTCTTGACCCTACCGGGATTCGAACTCCGACCCATCGGTCGTCCAGCCCGCAGCCAGTCGCTATACTGACTCCTCATAACGTAATAGAACATATGGAAATATTATTTAAGTTCCCTACATTCACTGTACAGGTCGGCCAACAGTACCTCAGCTTAGTTATTTTGAGGGTGAAATTGCTACTGAAAATTTGAAAAGGTAAAAATGTACAAGCAGATCTATATATCAAACCGAATCAGACCTTGTAAGATTTGACGTTTTCACGGCAGTGACTATGAAGAATGCCGTCTTCTGGGATGTGGCGCCGTGTAGATATTGTGTAAACCGACGTTTCGGAGGAACGTATCGCCCCCCTCTTCAGGGCATAAAATATCAGCGAGAGAAGAAACAGCATAAAGAGGTGGCTGATTTTATGCCCTGAAGATGGAGGTGATACGTTCTTCCGAAACGTCGGTTTACACAATATCTACACGGCGCCACATCCCAGAAGACGGCATTCTTCAGAATCAGAAGGGTAAACTTTACCTTGTTAGGTTTACGTACTTGTTCAGTCTACTTGGAAATGCCTGAGGAAGAAATGTCACAGCAATGGATGGAACGTCTTATGGTATTTATTTATAAGCTGGAGGATTCAGTGGAATCGAGTAATTCTTGAGGTATACTTTCTTTTGTCAGTTACATACAACATTTTGGGAGCACGTGGTAGCGCAGTTACAAGCCGGAAGGTCGCAGGTTCAAGTCGCGATGAGGTCATTGGATTTCTTTCAATTGACCTAATCCTTCCAGCCGCACTATGGCCCTGGGGTTCACTCAGCCTCTAACAGAAATGAATACCAGGAATTAATTAAATAATTTTCCTGGGGAGCATAGCGTGGCCTGCGCGTAAGGCTGGTTAACCTGCAAACCAGTGAAGATTGTCCCTGAACCTAGAAAGCCAAACATTTTATTGAATCGCAGATCAAACTTTCTTAACTGGAGTTTAACCCTCCACAGATATGTATTGCTATTTTTAAAATAGGCCATGGTTTCTTATTTATCTGTTCTGTTCTATCTTCTACATTAAAATAAGAGACCAGAAATGTAAATTAATAAATAAAGTGTCAAATTCAAGACTAATGAAATATAATATGTAGGAACTATGCAACCGTCAACACAACAAATATTTCAGTATTACATTTAGATCTTTATTTAGTGCGACATGTTTCAATAACTATACGT